AAAAGCCTATGTACTATGTTATCTCCTATGAATATGCATTAAGTTTTCAAAAACCTGCCACTTTTACCAGCCTATCCAAGCTACCCGAATGGATCACTACACGAACATTGACTGCCTACTGCACTTAGGGTATCTGCCAACTGCTCCGTCTGGAAGATCCTGGATCTTGAAGAGAAGTCAAGCGGTTGATGCAGGCCCTTGATTGCCACTCGAGGCTTGAGGCAGACCTCTTGAAACGCCAATGCCTTCATAGAGTTCCATCTAGCAGTCAGTTTCAGGCTTCCAAGATCACCGGCTACTAGCTCGCTGTACTTCGGGGCTTCGTGCAATCCCAGGAAACGCAGCAGTCCCGGGTTGCGTAATGTGTTGGGACACTGAGGGACGGCACTTCAAACGAAATGGCACTACGAGAAGAGCGAGCTCGAAAAAGCTGAAAATACGTTTTACAAGCAATGACCCCAGCAGGGATGAGAATCAGTCAGGCATGAGATTCCAACAAGTCCTGCGAATGTTGTGCTTCCGCCCTAACTTGCTGCCGGGATTCGAGAAAGGTCCTGAATCGAAGAAAACAGTCGAGGACTCCACCGATTGTAAGGCACGACAATAATCGTCCAAAGAAGACAATGCAGTTGTGGCAGCATGACTAATGGTCGGTTTCACGGGAAGACTTGCTCAAAACACATCATTCTTTTTCATCGATTAGGCCGTTGGAAAGCCCAGCAGTTGTGAGATGTTTGAGGAAGAATCCGGACAATGTCCTCTTCACAAACAGCACATTCGCACTTTAGGGACATCACCCCATGTGAATTCTTTGTCCTTTTGTGAACGAGATGATAATATCCCATGAAATAACACCGTAAAGCACCAAACAATCGACAGGTTTAGTATGGTGTTGTACGCCACTGTTGCAAGAGTGAATAGCTGGGTAGTCGGACCATTTTAGTCTGGGGAAAATGGATGCAAACATGGCGACTGTCATTAGTGAAGGTTCCTTTCTTTCATGTGCTGCTTCCCACCCCCATCGGAAGGCGATTATACCTACACCAATAGGATAGCCGGCTAAAGCCAACATCTCCTCCTTTCTGTGTTAGAAGTGCCTAGCCGCTTGCAATTCTTGATATTCGGTAAGGAAGAACAGCGATTATTCATTTTCAGCCAGACTCACACAAACATTCCGACAGAGTTTGTGTCCGCCCCGCTCGTCATGAGCGTCAGGAGCGGAGTCTAGCTCGAGTCCTGTGTGTTTGAGAGACCAGGGCTCGGTACATTCCCCATTTACTCCGACTTGATTTCCCACTTTCCCTCAACATGGGCTCATGTCACACACATTCCGCTCTCTCCCATCATTCGCCTCTCCTCCTCCCCCGGGATGGAGTCCAAGCCAGCCTCTTTCTATCATCCATCATTTATCATCAGTGTTCCCGTCCTGCCCTCCCAGGTCCCAATTAACACATTGCACGCACACCCTGCTCCCTATGATCGGAGTTTAGTCGTGCCACCCACTATGACTGTTCCCATACTGCCACCTGTACCCGCACAAAATTTAAACGCTCTAGGTCCACGGGAACAGGAGCTTTGTGGTCGAATACGCACACAGGCACATACATACATACACACAAAGAGGTAAACACAAACACAGAACACTCATACACAGGCGAGTGGCGGTTGGGCGAGGAAGGTGCGAAGTAATTACAGTTGGACCCGAATACCGATTCCCATAGACATACTTAGCACGTCACATACTGTAGGAGACTCCAGGCTGACGTTGACTATGGGAGCTGGCCTCTATGGATTTCTAGGGCTAATGCCCTTATCACCAGGCGACCGCAGGCAAGAAACCTTCACATACGCCCTCCTAGTTACTTGTGAATTTGTATTGACTATTTTTTCAATAGTGTGTGATCGAAAATCTCTCTATTTAGTAAAATTATTACATGCTGTTTCGAGAAAGTACCAGAAGATAAAGAGGATGGAAGTCGAACACCATGAGGAGCTCAGTGAAAATTCCGCCGGTAGATGCTCTGATCTGTGCTGCCGACCAACATTGTCCTGTCTTCCAAGAGAAAGTCAAGATGTAAAAGACTGTCGAGATAACTCAATACGAGTTTGATTCTTTACTCAAGTTAAGCTTTCGCCTGTAGCGTCGCTACAGCAATGTCCGGTGCAGAGGTGTCTGTAATGATGTGCATGCACTCTACACATGCATGATGAAATTTTCCCATTTGGGGAGGGATAGGACATAGTCATAGACAACTTGAGAAGGTCCCGTTCCAGCAGAGTTCATTTTCCTCTCGACTGCACACGCCCACAGAGACATTTTCCAATGGGACGGAAATTACCTCGAAAAACATTAGACATTTAGTGTCCATGTGCGACTGTCGATGAATCTCGGCATTCTTCCTTCAGTTTGAAATTGACTCTTTAAGCTGTACAACCGAGATATTAACAAACTTAAAATTAGACATTTAATCAGTAACACTAATTACGAAGTAGTAATAAGTTATAACGACCTAAGAGCCCCATATGGACAGTTAAAAACCTGCGAATATTGTAGGCCGACTTACCTGACGGAAGATATGGTTCCTACATAATTTACTCTGAAATACTGTTTTCAATGCCTTCACCCGAGAGAAGTGAATGAGCCGGATCCTCCCCCCAATTCATCTCCTGTGTGTGCCTTGTCTCCGATTCAATGCATAGATTGAAGTGATTGTTAGTCGGTTTCACTCGAAGCTATAAAGATTTGATCAGCCTGATGGCGTTCATTGCTTTTAAAATGATTGCTCTCAGTGATTTAAGTTTTGCGGAGGCACTGTCTAAAAATGATTTCTCAAGAACGGTTCAATACGAAGAAGAAAGGACTGCTAGAGACATCCCCCCTAATCTTCCCCCTACAAAGTAGATTGACCGCAAATGCTTATCCGTTCTAAGGAGCCCGGAGATTTCACAGCTGGACGCATTACATCTCCTTCATAAGCAGTCTTAGTAAGGCTTGAGGTCGGAGCTTGAGCGGCTCCAGTCCCGGCACTCCCTCGTCACGCTGTAGCTGTCTCTACAGTGACACAAATGACTTAGCTATTGATTCGTATCCATAGGTTCTTTCTGACGTTAATGAGTGAGGGTGTCATTTGGCACAACCTTCTCATTTGAAGGTGTACTTATACCTAAATATAGCCTTCTATGATGATGGATTCTATTCATATCCGGATTATAGTCTCCAGAAAGCTTCTCCGTCCGAGAAATAGAACGCTCTATTTCACGATCTTCTGTTTGTCCCAGTGTGAACCGATTACCCAAGCCATAACCCCAATGGTCTCATAGAATTTCGTATGGGAGAAGACCCCCAGCCCTAATGTGGGTACGAAACTCTCATGGCGCGCTGTGTGTTTTCTCTTTTCAGCAGTTGCGTCTGTGGGGCTGAGGTGGGCTCTTCGAAAGAGCTCGATGTTATCAGTTCCCGATCCTCTTCATCTCCATGGTGATGGGCGATCTCTTTATCACCAACGTTCTCTACGCGTTATCGTCTTGTCTCCCGCGTCAATTAAATCGCCCATCTTTTCCTCCGCATGTTTTGCTGTTATTTAAAAATTGCATTTGCCATACCAGTTACTATTCCTCATGGAATTCCGCTCTCTCGGGATTCATCTGGGAAGGTTTCCCCTTTTGATAGGCTCAGGGGGTTACGTCGTTTGGCTTTGGCACCGTGCGTATGGTACTTACAGTAGCCAGAACATTCCTGACTCACTTAAATCAAGAAGTTACGAGATATGTACCCTTCACCTGGGAAGATTTGCATTAGGAAGCATTAATTAGGATCCCGCAGTGGCCTTTGGGATAGCTGCTGCTTCCTCGTTCCACCCACACCTCCCTCATTTCCCGTCTGCTTCTGCCTAGTCGAAACGAGCTATACAGAATTCGTTAAAGTCTCCCTGCTGTGCTCCAAACGCCTTTGCAAAACTTCTTGAATCTTCGGGGACGTTTCATATTTCTTTCTTCGTTTAGGCCAACAGTATCACTCATATAAAAATCTCAGATCGAATGAGGAAACACTCTTTTATGAATGACGATTCCATGTGGGAAGATATAAGAGAATGGAGCTCTTCCATTTCCATTTAAAGAGACTCTATATTAGTTAGTTTACTACGCAGTAATCCAGTGAAAAGAGCTCGAGCTGCCCGAAACCTACCTCTATCGGGGATAATGAGCAGTTTTTGCAAGAGCTGTGTGACACGTGATGAAGCCCTCAAAACGAGTTGAAATACCCTTTGCGGTTTACCAGAAAACATTTATGATGCATACAACTTCAATGAGGTTGCAATGCGTTGCCGTCGAAACGAATGCCATCAAGCTTGTGCTAATCAAGTACTAAGTATGCCCCCAACCCACTATATTCATCAATTCGGATAGCTCTGCCAACTGCTCCTCAAGATTTCAGAATCTCCCACGGAGCAGTTGACAGATACCCTAAGGGCAGTAGGCAGTCAGTGTTTGCGCCACAGAATTGATCCACTCGAATAGCTTGTATAAGCTGGTAAAAGTGACATTTTTTCGAAGATTTAATGCATATTCATGAGATTACATTGTACATGGATTACATACATGGGTTACATAAACCACAAAACGGAACCTTGAAAGGTAAAAGAATTTCAAGAACCGTAGAATTTGGCCCCAGCATTTTACTTATTTGACTCATTTTTTCTTCAAACGCGAGCTCTCTTCTGAGCTAGGTGATTGCGTTTACAACCGAGAAAATCACGGAAATCTCCTGATATTCTAATATGAGGGCAGTTCTCTGACTGACTTTCTTTTGCAATCCTCTTGAAAATGGATGTATGCAAGTGGATTCATTATCGATATCTGACTTTCCAGGATTCTCACCCTTAGGCGAAACTTGTACACGATCTTCGTTGTTATCTGAGAATCGCTTGTTGTGGGCCATTTTTCAGGTACAATTCATTCATTTTTAGACCTTTCCTGTAGTTTCAACTGAGAAGCGTTGGATGCCTTCTCAAGAAGGTCCCAGCACAGCTCCTGAACAACCAGCAACATCGAATGGAATTGGTGGAGCCGGTCCAAATGGAGATACTCAACAAGGCAATGGCGTTTTGCCAAACAGTTCGAGCACCGTTGAGAAATTCCCTCTGATCAATCGGGTAAATATTTCATGCTTGCAACTTTTATTTCAATCCCCATAATGTCGTCGTTGATGGTGGTCTGATCCTCTGAGAGCTCCTCAACTCTCTGATTTCCTACAAACACATTTTTTTGTTTTACTCTCTTTAATGAAACTTCATCTCATTGTACATAACAAAACAAATTTCTATGATCCTGATGGGTGTTCAAAAAGTGATACCACGGCTGTACAGATTTTTCTGGAATGTTCCAGAAGTTCTCACAGAATCACTAGAAGGACACTATTTGTAGACACACAATATATTAGGAGATTTCATGAAATCACAGTCTCTTGACCAAATGGCGGCTTATCTTCTACCTCCGTATTCCCCGGTTTGAGCGAGCACTGGAAGGAGGAGGAGAATCATTCAGAAATGGTTATAAAGCCAGGTTCTGGACGCAAGCTCCGATCGGCTTTTGCAACGTAGTGGTCGAATTCGGAATAGTGAAGGTGTGGCTGTCGAGTTTGGGATAAAATTTGGCCATTACGGGGTAAATAAGTAAGAAAGGGAGAATTGGATGATCGCAATACCTCTATTAGCCATTCCTTGGAAAATTTCAGAGCAATGCAGAGAAAATCTGGATTGTTGCGGAATTTTCGGTAGATACCATCCGAACGACTTAATATGCGACAGCCCTTTAAGTGGTACCAATCGGGGAACTTCAAACGCAACAGCGAAGGGGGACATAGGAATTCATAGGGTGGTGATGTTTGGCAGCTGTACTGTAGATGGTGCTCTACAAGCCATCAATCATCACAAAACCGTTTCACACCTCTCCCTTTCGCCCTCGGTAGTTCCCGACAAAGCCGTAAAGCCGTTTGGAAAGATTTTGGCTCTAATCTATCCCGTAGAGACTCTTCAGGAAACGAAATTTTTGCGGATTTAGCTGCTCTTCATCATAGTAATGAAGCATTTCTCTCTTTGCTCTTACGGAATAGTGTTTTGCGACTTTTTGGGGTGGAAAGCCACAAATCTAGTCAAAATAAGTTTTTCAAGATGGTTTTGGCAGTGTACCCTTTGACTTATTTCCAAACACGACCATTGAATTAATCCTAAAGGAAAGCAGCCACAAATGATTTGTGGGGATTGTCGATCCTGCTTAGTAATCTAGGAATAAGGTAGGAAGCTTGATAACCGGTCTTTTGTGAGAAGCTTTGAAGCAGCAGGGTAGGACTGATCTTTTTGAATGACTACAAGACTGGAATGATATCATCGTCGTCTCACGATTTGAAAATAGAGAGAGAAAAGAGAAGATATGTATAAATTATTTCCTTGCAAAAAAGTGAAATTGAAAAACTTCAAATAGTTCTAAGAGATTTGAATCCCTCTTGGTAATTCAGAAAAGGCGGTGATGGTGTGGTTGACAGAGCATATCTCCCACCAGTATTATACAACTCATATGGGTAGCAACCGTAACCTGACCTAGGTTTACCAGATTGTATCAAAAGCAGCAAAATCGGATCTTCAAGTTGCAAAAAGTAGGATTTTTCTGAAGGATCCCATCGCAATCCCTATCCCATTCTCCTTTCTTATTCCCTCAACCCGGCCCTCAAAAAGTGTCATATGCTGAAGAATGTTACTCTCACTCTTCGTTATTCACAATAATCACTACCGCTTTTCCGTTTGTCTGGAGCTTGATCCTAGTTGTTAGGAGTACAAAAGAATAAAGTATCGCAGAAGAATTGCATCTTCGTTCTGTTGCTAATTATTGTGTTAGAGACACCCTTCACGCCAATTTTGAGGGATCCGTTTTTATTCGACAAGCGAAAGCATAGATTGGGAATGGTCCATCGGTGGTGATGAAAGCGAGAGAATTCGCCGACTCCGAGAAAAATATGGCTCATCAAGAGTAGGGAAAATAGAGGTTGGACGAGATTGACATGACGGAAATAACATTGGAGGGGTATTCGGACGAGATTTCAGTTGTTGCAAATGCGCAATGAGCTGACTACATCAAGCCAGAACTATACGGAACTGTCTTTCACCGTCGTTATGGGTCATGACAGTTAGTTGAACTTCCTACAAGAACTCCCCTATGAACGGTGCAGCCTCTACAATGCCGGTGAAACTCGTTCGAGGATACTCACGGGCCAATCTTTGAGCCTTTATAACTCCCTAACTAGGCCGTTTTCCGACTTAACCATTTTAATCATGAACTGTGCCTTTAATTTACATCTATATGCTTACACATTCCTCAAGCTTTTCATGCGCTAATTAGCCTGAGATTATCAAATTTCATTGTGAAATTGAGCAAAATTACTCGATCCGCCTCACTCTGAAAGTACCAGAATAAGGTAGTTGACTTTTTCAGTCATTCAGTATTTTTCTGGAAATTTAGTTGGAATGAGCGAATCTAATTTCCATATGAACGGCGTCGTTCGGTGCCTGTTCTATATTGCTCTCTCAAATTTGCTAGGCGATTATTCAATAACACAAAGTTATCAATTAATTTATGCTGACGGCAAAAAACAACGTCTAGCCAGCGACATTGTATACTGTCGTCAGCATGAATAAATTAGTAAGCTTGTGCATGTGTGAGGGATAGGAAAATGTGACCAGAGTTCTGTTAGCAGCTTGCAGTATGGGCAAGTACCCCTCAGCAATCTACTGACAACTTTTCGCCTTCATTTTCTGGCAGGAAATTAAATAGAACAAGTCGAAGTGGACCTTTCTCTGATTGTATTTTTTGCAGCTGTTTCGACGACGAAATCGAGTTCACAATGCGTATGAGGCACAGTCGGAGTTTATGCAGAAGTTCGGCCATGGAGGAAGCGACGCGAGTGCTGCGGCGGCTACTACAGCGACTGCCACGGAGCCGCGACCACCTCCAGAAGGTGTGTTCATACTTTTCCTGTCCGTCCTCTTTGCTTTCATTCTTAGCCGCTAGCCTCTTTCCAGTCAATTTAACCAGTTCTCATTTGATACCATTATCAGACATGACGTACGTTATCCTATGCCCTATGCCGTAATTAGTTTTCATTAGAAGAAATAAATAATATTCGGTCTTTTTCTGATTCTTTCGCTGAAATGGCCGTGATCACTAAGGTAGCCCATGGTCAGCAGTCACCCTTTTTTTGGGCCTCAATAATCCTCGCGACCTAAAGTTCTCCATCCTAGTAGAACTTACATTGAATGGAAGTCGAATCTGTATCGATCAGCCTTACCTTTCAGGGTCTGCTTGGAAAAGATTCTTGCAAACATGGACCATTGATGCATCACAAGACCGATATTACTATTGGACGGTTGTTGTAAGTCTGTTATCGATTATTTTACACTTTTTCTAAGAAAGGTCTTAAGTATGTATCGTATTGTATTACGTGCTACAAGTTTGTTCAGAAAAGCATAGTCTGCTTACTTTAACTACTTCGTAGTTCACTTAATGTTAGCCGCTGCAGTCAACAGCTTTTGGTTCATATAAATCGTGTAGCGCGATATAGTTCTATTTTATAGCCTGTATTGCAGTGTCCTGCAGTGAGTGTTGCAATAGGCGAGAGCGTCAGCAAATCTCTTTATGCGGAACTATTAGGTTGAATCTAAAGTCCTCAGACAAATTGACACTGATTATATTTACCTTACAATTTTTTATAGACAACAATTGCAAATTATTTGAATTATGCCCCATTAGTATCGATGGACTTCTGTCAACGCTGGAGCAGATGTAGATGCCCTTGCTCCAGAACGCTAGGGGCTGGCCCTCGAAAAACTGCTCGAGTGCCATTTTGATGTTGTCGCGGGTTTGAAAGTTTTGACCATCCATATGACGTTGGAGATGGGAAAAAAGGTGGTGATCCGAGGGAGCCATGTCTGGGGAATATGGGGGGTGTGGTAAAACTGTCCAGCCGAATTCATTAGTTCAGCTTTGATCGTTCTTGCAATGGGCGGCCGAGCGTTGTTGTGCTGGAAGTAATCTTTGTGCTGCTGTGGACGTGTAGTTTTGAGATTCGCCTTCAAATTCCTCAGTTGCTCAATGTAGATATCTACTGCCACTGTACATCCTTCGTCTAGCAGCTCCTAGTATTCGACACTGTGAACGCTCCACCAGATGCAGAGCTTAACCTTCTTGGCGTGTACGTTGCGTTCAGGAAAGCCTTCTGCATCCGCACCTTTGTAAACCCCTTGAGCACGCCGGTGAACGTTAGAGTAGAGAATCTACTTCTCATCCTCGGCGACTAGGCGCTCAAGCCACGTGTTGAAGCGCTTGAGCATGAGGAGAGAAAGTGCCATATCGGCGCGTCAGTCCATGACATACTGCTTCAAAGCATGAGGCACCCATCGGGTGCGTTTTCGCACCTTGCCGATTCACTTCAATCCACGAATAATTGTCGTCCTGGACGGTCTCCATCTCCGGTGGAATTGTCGCCCGACGCGAACTTAGTGCCACTTGCAAATTGCGCCCCTGGCAGGCACGTCCTCCTTGTAAACTTCTTTTATACGTCTATCGATCGCAGCGGGTTCTTGGCCAGATAAAAAAAGAAATAGGATGGTGTTGCGGAGG